ATAGATAGATAGATAGATAGATAGATAGATAGATAGATAGATAGATAGATAGATAGATAGATAGATAGATAGATAGATAGATAGATAGACAGATAGATAGAATCGATTGAAAGCGAACGCGAGACAAAACAGAGATGAGCGAACACGTTACGAATCCGTGTCGCAATCACTTTTAATTTGTACTTCACATTTTCGCGCGCGCTTTGTGTGCTCTCGTGAATTCGCTGTGATTGTAAAGCGTTTGGCACTATGGCTTCTCTGCGTTGAGAAATCTCGACCGCGAGCTATTTCCCAGCACGGCTCGGTCTCCGACGAAATTACGGACAAAACAATAATTGTCATTGATTAAAGGCCCGGCGCAACGAACGAGATTTCGCGAGCGCGCGAGCAATCTGAAATGACAATGTCAACTAAACGGTTCTCCGAGCGTGGGTCTTTTCGCGAGGGAGGCGTTTTACGCGAAGTGGAAATTTGAAAAGAGCCCATGCCGCTAGGATTTCATTATTGGCATCAAGTATTGCCTATGGCTGATTGATGCTGATAAATTGAGCAATTTATTCGCATATGACCCAAAGATTTGCGAGGCTTTGTCTCTCTTTCTCTACTATGCTTTCACTTCCTCTCTCTCTCTCTCTCTCTCTCTGTTCTTTCTTTCGCTCGCTCTCTCCCCTCTCTCCTCTTCTTTCTCCTCCTGTCTCTTGTTTTCTATCTTTCTCTATCTCTCTTTCTTTATTCTCCAAGGCTCTATTTCTCTTTCCCCCTTTCTCTCGCTTTTTCTCTTACGCTCTTTATTCTCTCTCTCTCCTTTTCTCTCCCTTTCTCGTTTTGTCCGTCTCTCCCCCTTTCTCTCTCCCGCGCTTGTTCTTCTTTCTCTCTTCTTCTTTCTCTCTTCTTCTTTCACATTCTCTTATTCTCTATCCCTTTTCAATATATACTAAAGCTAGAAAACGCACGCGCGTTGTTTTGTGTTTCGTTTCTTTTATTGAAAAAGTCACAAAAGCAGAACGGACTACGAGCGAACTATTTCCTAACCTGATAGCCGCGTCCGTTATTATACGTTAATAATAATGCAAGCAAATTCTTTTTTATGCTTTCTGTTTTGAATTCCCCTTCAAAGTCTGGCTATGGCTGGACCGGGCGACAGCTACCGAGGCAGTGTACCCCGTGATGCAGTAAGGTTCGGTAACAATGTTATCTGGTTTTATAGAAGTGGGTGGCTGGCGACGACTCCATCTACCGCATTTAACCCCACCGGTGCGCGAGGCGCACCGAAGCAATATTTGCCGCAAAAATATACGATCCAATCTCTAGCGTCACTGATTCGATCATCTATAAATTTGCCGAGGAAATGCGTTTGCAGACCGTGGTCCCCACGGCTCCGGGCCGCGTCGCATTTATTATAAACTTATACCGTTCGTATCAGCCAATGATCAAATATATATATATATATGCTGCTTTACGTGTATAAATATGCACTATAATATCCATTGCACTGTTATAAATTGCTATCGTGTAAATTGCACTGTGTAAGCGATTTCCGACGCAGATTCGCGTGGTGTTGGTCTAATTCGAATTCGTTACAGAAAAAAAGTTCTGCATAGCCGTTACGCCCACAAGAGAGTACCGAGAGTGGAGAAGGGGAGAAAGTGGAGAAGAGGGAAGGGAGGAACTCGTCAGTCGAACAGGAAAATCGCCTACGCGGAAATCGATGGAATAATTTTAACAGTGATTCTATATAGATATATATTATAACGCGCGCGGTCAAAAGCCCCTCTGGCTCTAGCAGGGCGGCAGCTGTCACCGTTGATTTCGTCGACGTTTTAGAGGAAGCCACGACGGAAGGTCAGTGCCGGACAATCGCGTGAAATCAAGTTGACAAGAGCGTAATTTCACATTAACACGCGACCGTGCTCCGTCGCACCCGATAATCTCGTGACAAGAGCTACTTTCGACGAGAGTTTTCGCCTAGCGCTAGAGCAACTATATATATATATATATATATACTCGACGTCGGTGGGGATAATTCAATAAGTTCCCGTATCAAACCTAAAAATGTCTTCGGCGTGGGTTTGTTGCCGTGGCAGCGGCGGGTAGGTAGACGCCTGATGCGCCATGATGTCGAGAAGCAATTCTAATTCCGATTTGGCCGCACTTTCGTGGCAGATATTGACCGAGTTTATGATGTCGAATGTATCATAACTTCAACGCCGAGCGCAGAACAGAGTTTCTCCCGCCTCCACGCGATACAAGTTAAAATACGATTATTACCCCGAGTTATATATGATAGTCAGCGAATATCGTTCGTTTTTCTGTTAGCACAGTGGCGCGTAACCTAATTAATAATCCATATTGATGAACAAAAAAACCGAAGTTGAAAAAAATGCTTACGCGGAATCGCAGGATTCTTTGCTATCGGCGATGCTTCTCAATGTTTAATGATTTTGTTCGTCGTCTCACTGTATATTCCGATGAACGGAAACTTCGTTGAAATCCGAGAGCATTCATTTACATACACCTCACATCGTGCATTTATAATTTCGCTATTCTAATCGTAACCGCGACCGATCGATGTAACAGAGTGCACGAATAATTGCACAGTTCGCCCCCGGAGATTTCAACACGCTATACGGCATCTTTCATTGCTAGCTTATTCTTCAATTATTATTCCGTGAAACATCCCGTGGGAAAATATCGATTAATATGTTTGTCGAGATAATGTAAATATCTTGATCGGTTTTGAATCGGCGAGATTTCTTACGCGAGCTGTATAATTTGTTCATAATTACAAGCTTCAGTTGAGCTTCAGTCCATGGCTACTGAGCATGCAGAGGCGTCCATGACGCATGACTCATCATCATGAGTCTTGATTTCAAGGTCGTAGTTGTTGTGTGTTAGGCTTAAGCAGCGACTGTATGCATTGTTGGTGATGTGACTTAAGCATAAGCACTGACTGTGTGCATTGTTGGTGATGTGACTTAAGCATAAAAAACACTATATGGATTGTGAGTGCTGTGCCTTAAGCATAAAAAGACAATGTGGATGGTGGGTGTTGGGGCTTACGCATAAGCAGCGACTGCGTAGATTGTGGGTGTCGTGACTTAAGCACAGGGAACGACTGTATAGATTGTGGGCGTTGTGCCTTAAGCATAAGCAACGACTGTATGCTCACTATGCGAGCATAATTGTCATAGAAAATTATTCTAGTCGTATTCAAACCAAGTCAACAGTCAACCAAACAACCAAATAACAGTCAACCATACAACACTGTGATTGCACCCGGGTTCTAAGCATATAAGCGCTGGCTGTGGGGTCGTGACGGCCTGACGGATGACGTGTGTGGATGACATGTGTCATGGATGAAGAGACGTGGTCGTTGATGCCCGCCAGCACCTGCCGGCGACACTGCCAGCCCGCGGCGACGTGCGCAGTGTGTGTGTGTGTGTGTGTGTGTGTGTGTGTGTGTGTGTGTGTGTGACCATTCCCATTCCATTCCCTCGCCTGCGGAAATAGGCAGACCGCTGGGAATTACACACAAGTCACTACACAACAACTGCGGCGTCACGGCGATCATTAAGATGCCGATAGCCTACGATTATGCATATCATGCCTATTATGCCTATTATGCCTATTACGGCAGATCTGCGGAGCTCTCGCGGTGTGTACGCACACACTGCCAGCACAGCGAAGGACGGTTCGCGCCGATTGTCGTCTCCACAGCGCATGCGCCTGACGGGCAGCAGCCAATACTGACGTGCGAGAGTTGAGACCGCGTGCCACGGTACGGCTGCTGCAGACGCGATATGTATTTGTGGCGGTTTGCGCGCGTTAAACGCGTCCTGTGTGTCCTCGCGTGGCGCGTAGGTTCGAGTAAATGCTTCGCACCGTAAATCGACGGATTATTCGACAGAGTCGAGGATTCGCACTGCGGACCGGGTGAGGACGGAGCGAGAGCGTGTGAAACCCAGACTCAGCGTAGCAACAACAGCAGCAGCAACAATAGCTGCACCAGAAGCAGCAGGAACAGATGTAACAGTATCACTAGCACAATCAACAACAACAACAGCAGCAGCGACAACAATAGCAGCAGCGGCGGCAGTAGCGGCGGCAGCAGCAGCAACAGCCGCATAATCATCACCAGCGGCAGCGGCAGCGGCAGCGGCAGCAGCAGCAAAAACAGCCACATCATAATTTTCAGCAGCATCGGCAGCGACAACAGCGGCAGTAGCTACAACAGCGGCAGCGGCAGCAGTAGTAGCGGCAGCAACAGTCATGGTATCCGTCAAGGAAGAGATCCGCAACTTTCAGTTCTGGAAGGCGGTGCGAACAGAGTTCCTCATCACCTTACTCCTCGTCTTCGTCGGCTGTGGCGCCGCCGTGCGATGGAGCGAGGCGTCGCCCGCCAACGACATACAAGTCGGGCTCGCCTTCGGCCTCGCCGTCGCGACATTCGTCCAGTGCGTCGGCCACATTAGCGGTGGACACATGAACCCTGCCGTCACTCTAGGCATGCTCGTAACCCGAAACGTCAGCATTCTACGGGCCGTCTTCTACTGCGCCGTACAGTGTCTCGGTGCGATCGCCGGATCAGCGATTCTATACGGCGTTCTACCGAAGGACATTCGCGCTGACCTCGGAACGACGCGGGTCAACGAACAGTTTAGTCTGGCGCAGGCGTTCGGTGTGGAGTTCATGATTACGTTTATCTACGTGTTCACGGTGTTCGCGAACCTCGATCCGAAACGACAGGACATGGGATCCAGATCGTTGGCGATCGGACTGTCCGTGACCCTTGGTCATCTATTCGCCGTGAGTAGATTCCTCATCAACAGTAATAATCATACGCACTGCACTGCGCTCGCTGTAGTCAATAGTACAATCTAAAAGTTAATAGGCGAGTGCAGTGAAACTAGTAGAGAAACAGGGAAATAAAGTTAATATGTGTTAGATCCATAATAATCGATAACTTTATTTTTTTGGTCGGTGACCCATGGTCATCTATTCGCCGTGAATATTCCTCATCAACCGTATGCACAGTGGCAGACGAAAATTCCTCTGTTATAATAAGGATGAGCAGCGTGTGCGGGCGAGTGTTTGATGTTGGCGTCATTACGTAGACACGCCAGCCCCCTGACACAGCCTCTATCTCCGCTGTGCCAGGAGTGCCTGCGTGATGATTAAACTCGCCTAACGAATTAAGCAAACACGCTGAGCTCGTATCACAGATTCGCAGTCTCGAGAGCAATTTCAAGAAAAACAAAATGCATTATTCAGCAGCCGTGGCCGCACGCACGCACCAGCTTCGCGGCCTGCGCGTAGACGTAGATGCATGCGTATGACTCATGGGAAGGTCGTGTTATTAGAAACCTTATAATTATCGTTTAAAGGCCGTTCTCTCTCTAGAGGCGCGCGAACCTCGTTAGGTAAACTGAGTGTAGGATAACGTATATAAGTAATTGCCCGAGTAGAATTGGCGGATGTTTCATTTGGCCGGGGTACGTTTCATCTTCAGCCGCGCGCAATCACAGACTCATCCGGGTTCTTTCGGAATCGCATTCGGGGTCTTTCTGCATCCGTGATATTTTTTGCATCCGGGACTTTTCGTATCCCGGATCTTTTTTGCATCCGGGACCTTTCTGTATCCGTGATAATTTTAGCATCCGGGACCTCCCGCATCCGGGATCTTTTTTGCATCCGGGACCTTTCCCCATCCGGGGATATTTTTACATCCGGGAGCCTCATAGCCATACTCAATATCCATTGTACATATACATATCCAATGTTGTGAGTACGAAGTGGAGTAGAAGGCTTCCGGCAGCCACGGGTGTGGCATGGTATATACCCCCCATGACAAACTTCCCTCTCTACCTTACACATGGGCAATAAATTACAAAGCACCCATGCCCATGTTCTCTACGCCTTGCTAGACTTGCCCATGCGCATGCGCACTGTAGAGGAAATGTTTGCTATGCGAGGGGCGTATACCATGTTACAGGGGTGCGTTTGTGGTGGTGCTATGTGATGCACTATTTACACTGTGGCCAAGCTCTAAATGCGATTATAGCAGGCAGCATTCAGAGCGCCTCGGAAATTACATGCAATATCTTATTAACGATCGCGCGTTGAAAATGCAAAGCGCCATAAAGCCGCTATCGCGCCAGAAAACGCCGGACATTACGCGAAAATATAGATTTAATGAAAGGATTTGCCAGATACCGACAAAGCAGCGTGAAAATCGGGCACGGTGTTATAGAATCAACATGTATTGCGCGCGCAACGCTGACATGCAACGAATAAAATAGCTTTGCATGTCAATTATTATATTAAAATAATCGATATTACCGTGGCGTCTAAACCCAAGTTCGTCTTCAATCGGAAGATTTTCCGCCACTTTTCTATGTGACCAACTTCTCGCTGCGTTCGCTAGCTCGGTTGGGCTCTATCGCCTATTTCCTGATAGCATATGGAGACAGGGGGGGTCAGCCGTCTGGCTGCAAGCTTATTAAGTGCGATATTAGCAGCCAGCCAGCCAGCCAGGCAATTCTCGGGTGAAGCTGAGGCTAACCACTCTAACAGTGACGTGGTACCATTACACTTCACTGAAACCATATAGCCCGCTAGCATCTGCAGAACCTCGACAGCATTCGCACGTTATACTTTCCACACTATATATGCGACGTACGTGCGTCGATTCATCGTGTTAATTATGATAATAATCTACTTTCCGCCGCATTAATTAACGGGCCAATTATAACATGTGCGGCTGTAATTATTGAAAACACGTGAGACACATGCAGCGTCGTATGACCGTAGATATCTCACGATGCATATAGATGCGTATACAGATATCCATGCCTATATATAGGCCTATATCGTCATAAAATCATGCTTCAGGAAATCTATTCGCGGCATCGAAGGCCGTAAAACGGTACTAAATCGTTTAGCTTTCGCGACAATGACGTTCTCTCTAAACGCGAGTTTATGTTGTTTCGAGCGCTTGTTATCTGCAAGGCGGCAATCGTCGTTGTAATGCTTCTCCGATAACTATATAGATTATACACGTGCGTGCCGCGGAAAAGTGGAATCCCAGCGACCGGCTCGCGTTTCGGCCGAAAATCACCGCTCTGCGAAAACGTTTTCAATCAAGAGTCGCATACGATGTATGTCGCAAAAAAACACGAATCACTTTGCTTTTAAGAGGTTTCCTCATATATATTTACGGGCGAGCGGGTTTATCTATCTATCCATATATATAGTGACTCATGTATTTTCTTTTAACGCAGAGAGTACGAGTGGCTGCGGTAAGGTACAGTGTTTCAGACGCTGCGTGCTAAATTTTAATATTGAGATAGACTCTCGGGTTATTGCTCACCATTAAAAGTTGTGTTCTAGTGGTTAAAAGCGGTTTTTTTTCTTTTCGCGCATTATATTTCGAACGTGCTGTAATTATTTCTCAATCTTTGCAAAAACGTGGATTTTATTTATTGCAGAGAAATATAATATGCACACATAGCAAGCTATAGAATCTTTCGCACTAATGTGCATTTTTACCATTTGTATCGCATGATAATGCAACCAATTTGCTTAAATTAATATTACACACCTGTTTTTACTCGTTGAGACTTTAGGTAACCTAATTTAAATTTGTAAACATTTTTCATTATAAAAAATTCAAACTGTCATTATATCCTTACACGTGACAGTATGCAGTGACTGCAAAATGATTACTTGCATGTAATTTTGAAGTTTTCTCTTAGACATATGTACCTCATGCGTGCGCTAGTATTTTGAATTATACAATAGGGTTGTCAAGATTGATTCCAACCTTCTATGAGCTCATTACGTCGGGTTTATTCTTGACGTCTTGTGGAATCAGTCGAACGGATATGCAGAAACAAAGCTCTTTTTCGTAAACCATGTTAATTAAGTTAATGTTAAGTTTTCAACAATATATTTATTCACTAGGCCCTTATACCCACTAACAAACCGATGCATTATATGGGTGTACTCATATCGTGACTATACGTAGAAAACATAAGCGCATGAAATCGAGCTGGACGAAATTTCGAAAACATCTAGAGGTATGTAAGAAATGTATTGTATTATCGTGTTATTGTATTATCGTGTTATTGTATGTTCTGTACATATTATATCGCCGTGTTTTTCGCCCTACGTTGTGTACGCCTCGAACCGGCGGAGTAATGAATGTACTCTTCTTCTCTCTGTTCAACCTTCTCTCTCGCCTTCGCTTTCGCCCTAGTTCGTATTTCGCCCGCTCTCCGATTCCCTATCGCTCTGTTTCCTTTTCTATTTCTTCACCCGCCACCTTTCCGCCACGTTCTCTCACTCTTGACTCTCCCATTTTCTTTCCCTCGACCCCTTATCCTCTTTTTCTCTTCGTTCGTTTCTCTGTCTCTCTTTCCGCATAAAGGTTGGAGCAGCGCGCATAGAGGGAGCCATAAAATGCCACGCAATCACACGCCAGCTTTAGTACGATGGCCCGCCGATTGAAGCGTCATAGCAAAACCGTAGTCTAATTATTTACCACCGAAATAACGCGATTTACGGTCGAGCAACAATGAGTCATTACGTCAAGTGAAACCGATTTGAAAGCGCATCACTCGGATCGGATGGAAAGCCGGATGTTATTATGTTGCTCCTCCAGGATAACAAAGCAATGCTGGTGGATTAACATGGCAACGAATCGGGTTGAAAACACAGTGGGCTGTTTTACCGATCTACTTGGGAACACAATGCGGATATCTACCAGACTACATTATATAATGCAATGCGGGTTTATCGAATTCTTATTCAACGAGAGAGACTTTCATGCAAGAATGTTAATTAAGCAATACTTCTGCTATCGATGGATCCGGTAAGACTCGGTATGTGGCAGTAGTATGGTTCAATTTAGAAAACATTGATAGCGTCTACAGAATTGTTCGATTTTCCTGCTAGTGTACAGAGCATACATTATATCCTATAGAATATTCTACTACAGTAACTATGCATTATATTCTTAATTGTCAGGGCCGATATCTTAAACACGCACGCATAAAGTATAATCTAAAATGCATTTCTGAGACAGCTCCGAGATTAGCAAAAAAATGTTATTGTAGAGAGCCAGCGCATGACAGCATTGATTTCACTATAATTATAATTATAAGCGGATTACTACGGCTTCTGCAATTAGCATGCGTGGATTGTCCGCAGATTGATTGATTTGCCTATCTTCTTGAATTTTTATCGGCGTTAAGCACTTCAAGCGGAATATATTGCTGTCACAAGCACGAGAGCGGAGCAGCGATATTTTAAGGGGCTATAGCCATGAGATGCTGCACGCTAACGGTCTGCACGCTAACGGTCTCTGTTACGATGTTTCTGGCGGGTTGTCATCTTATTGCTGATTTCCTCCTCCACATATTTTTCCCTAATCGGCGTTCTTCGTATATTTTTTTTTACTATAACTTTTGTGTTGGTTTGACATCTGCGCACGATGTCACATATATAACGTTCACGTTGCTCTCCGCTTAAAGCACCGAAAACTAACTCATTTATCCCAGCTTCAACTGCGAAAATCTGGCAGAAGTAATTTCAGCTTCAAGCGGCCAGTCTTTTATATTTTATGTGCGTACACTTTACACGCCCCGCCGGAAATCAGTTATATTTAATTTCAACAGTGCTAGCGGTCCGCTGCCTCTCAGTAATTGGAAAGCTCACGTGCGTGCATTCGCGATGTTTATAGCTTTAAACACTCGGATGTTACTCTAGTAATTTACGGTATTGGCTTCGCTAGCTTGTCACGAACT